TTACAGAGATTGCAAAGATATATATTAATACAATTATTGGTTATTTCTATTTTACCAATCACACTTTTTGTTACTGGCAACCCTTCTTCTATTATTTTTGTTACTGGCAACGCTTCTTTTATTAAGACATTTAAGCTATGTTTACGTGAAAATGGCTGCCACATGTACGAAAGACGGACCCATCAAACGTACCGAAACCTACTTCCAGAACTGTAGCTTCATCAGGAGTTTGCCAAAGTGGATAGATGAGCCATTAGCCTTAGTCAGTGTTCACGATGGCCTCGAAAGCCTTACACGCGCTTCTCTAAAGATTGTTTTAAGTAAACGTCGGAACAAGAAAGAAAATTCATGGGAAAGAAATAAAGGTTGAAGATATCGTTTGGATCTTTGCTTTAGAAGGGAAGTGGAATGGTTTGGCATATCTTTACACCTGTACTCGCTACAGTGCATACGACACTCATGGATCAAATATAAATACCAAGAAATCCACATAATAATTAATATATTGCGTAACTGTACAGTCAGTCGCAGGCATATGGGATTTCGAAAATAAAGATACTTTCTTAAGCCACAATTATTTTATTCCTTGGTTCAAGGATTTTACTTCTAAAAACCTCTTACAGGCCAAACCAAAATAAAAATTATCTGGTGTTTTGACTTTTATTAGCAGATTATTGATTTCTAAAGCATATATATATATATATATATATATATATATATATATATATATATATATATATATATATATATATATATATATACATACATAATATATATATATACCGGTGGCAAAAATACATGACATCTGCTATCAGTATTGTTCATGTGCCACACACAGGCCCGATCTCCTTTAACAAAATCGGTGGCATGTTCTTGAGACAAAGCGCAAATACCATCGGTTCTGTAGGTATAACTGACTAGAAAAACACCGAAATCAAATCGTATCAGATCAGGTGCGGCGGGGAAAAGTCTTTTTCTCAATTGTATTTACTTTGGAAAATCGGACTAAACAAGTGCGGCAGGGGCCGGAGGCCATAACCGTTCTGCGGCGACCTAAGTTGAGGCCAAAGGCGCCGTATCTCGGACTTAGCTTCATATGCACAAACGTTTTTTAAGGCGCCTTATCCCTGCCTTAAGTCCCGCCGCTCCGCAAATCACTTAAGGCGTCGGATCTTCGGTGGCCAATCACAGCTGCCGTTTCAGGCGGCTCTTAGGGTATCTTGACCAATCACAAGCCGTAAATGCCAATCAGCTGATTTCGTAAACACAACGCAGTGTCCAGCCCGTGGCATGATAGAACTTTTCAACAAAATTGGTATTATTGAAAATGCAACCCCACACCTAATTTAAAGAATCTGAGCTTACCCAGTAGTATTACACATCAGTCTAAGAATTTGCCTCTATACCATTTTCTGCGCAAATTGATAATAACGGTGTTACCGAGGGTATAAAATGCACGATTTCCTTACGAACGCCGCGACAAATGACAAAAAGTCGTTAAGAGTATCAGACGAATTTGTAGCGGATGACGTAGGCAAGGGAAATCATGTGAGCCAATTAGATTCGAGCGTGACCGTGATGTGAACATAGACACTCAGTAGAACCAAACAGATATGGAATAGGTCATCACATGGCAAAAGAAATACTATGCTTGTTAGTATTCTACCGATATTTCTCGAAATTATCCCCCAAATTAACTGATATGCATCATGCCCTCCCTGGTTATCGGGACTGATATCGTAGTTATACTTCGTTTGCGAAGGAAATGAGCGCTAGATTCGCTCGGAACACGACGAAAGCTACTACAAAATTATTCTATTCACCCAAAAAACAGTGTGTGGTTCCATCTGTCGTGAAAAGCAAATCACAGTTATGTTGGAATACTACACTTGTTCCCTTATCTAGTAGTCCACAATTGGTTTACGTACACCTAATGTCACTATAATTGAGTAAAATACAAATTGTAATGTTGTATTAATTGTTCTAGGGCTGAAAATGTCATTTATGCTTCGCCGTAACTCGCTAAGGCTGCTCTCCCTCTGCCTTAACCGAGGGCGCCTTCACTCGCACCAATATGGCGGATCCCTTGCTCTGTGCATGGGCCGTAAGATCGCTGGCCGTAAGTTAAGGCGCCTTAAGGAGATACGGCGCCTTAACGCGTTTGAGAATCCGGCCCCAGATTCGTAAATTAAGAATTAATATAACTGTAGTTTTAGCACCGAAGAACCGAGCGAATTACAGCATTTTCTAAGACAGAAAGTCACTCAGAACATGTTATCCAGAATAAGAGATTAGATATTCAGAATGTCTAAGATTCTATGGAAAATACAATAAAAATTTCTAATATGCTACTAGAAACCTAATAAGAATTTCTAACAATATTTTGATTAATGGATTCTAGCATTTCATTAGAAATCCAATAAAAAAAATCTAACAATCTTTTAGAAAACCACTCAAAATTTCTCATCTTAAGAGTAAAGCTAGTGAATATTTCAGACATTTTATTTGAAACTTAATAATTATGGCAAAGAAATAATTATGTATTACTAATCAAGAATTCTTGAGATTCAATTACACACTACGCAAGACATCTATTATTAGTTTTTGATATTTGTACATGAAGAAGGGAAAAAAGAAAAGAAAGACATTCTGGCGACCGTCTGGTGATTTATC